AGGATAAGAATTCCTTCATTATTTCTCTTTCTAACTTTATGAAGCGCATATTATGTGATTGAGAAAAGCCACGAACGAATCATGTGGGAAATTAACTCAAAACCTTTTGTGCAAGCGTTATACCATTCTACACTTCGGGTAGTGTAGTGTAAGTAAATTTACACGTCTTTCATATCCTAACACTTTCCGTTTTAAATACAGTACTGTATTTGTCTACACACTCGATTATACAGCATTTATACTTCGTGTTGGAATCGTGTTACTTCTTACTCGAAATTTCTCAAAGTATTAATCACATAAAGACATAATCAATATTAATCAGTATTTATCAAATGAAATGAGGTGTGCGATTAAGGTACTGTACTTCCTTCTAACCAGGAGATGACAATGACATGAACATTCACGCAGAGGTTCTTTTGTCTGAAAACATTTTTAGAGAATTTCCATAGAAAAATGCACCGAAGTCATTATTTTAAAATATCCTCTAATGATCACGACGGGATGATATTGAATGAATGCGATGCTAAAGCCAACCGAATCATTGCCACTTTTCAGCCGGAGCAGAACAAGAGCCCCCCAAACTAAGGGACAAAAGGAGGTGCTTCGGAAACTGGCCCAAAATCGTTTCATCTTTCAGGAAAAGCGCAAGTGTATATGGGGAAAATGAATGGGTATTTTATGCAATGTTTTGAGGGAGACCAGCGGATGTGTATGTAAATAGCCGACAGTGGTGGAAAAACGACAGTTGGCATTCAATACCTATTACTGCACGCCCACCATTCGATTGAATAAAGCGAACCCAGCCCCGAGGGATCATGAATCAAAGCAGGAAACGGGAAAATGTTTAACTGCTGGTGTCGTTAATGCGATTCCGACCCGAACTGTTTTACCATTGTCATCATTCGTGCGGTCACTGTGTAGTGCATAAATCAACTCCCATTATTATTGCCAAGTCGATTCTTCTTTCTCTGCTGCTGCGGAGTTTGCTAATGCAAAATTATGGACTGCATCTGCCGCGTGCGTTTGCTTCCTGCATATTCTCAGCATTTTCGGTCCAATTCTCTCTCTTTTTTTCCCTACTGAACGGGAAAAAAACATGAGCTGGTGACTTACAACCAAAATAATCTACAGAACTCATTTCATTTCAGAAAGTACCACCTCTGGACATGCATTTAACGCATATACAGTATTTATGATTTATTGCTGTTCATTTCAACAATATTCGCATCCGGGACAGGCAAGAGCAGTTTTGATAAATTTATTCTCCATGTAAATAAATTGTGTGGAAAGTTGAAGATAATATACCAGTGTGAAACAATCAATGGAAAGTTTCAAGTTATGCTAGAATTCCCCCGAAGAATCACTTGTAGTTAAACATTTCGAGTTTCATCAGGAAATTTCAGTAAAACTTGAAAAAACATCTTGAGCTGCGCAAATGAACAGCCCATGAGGTCATTAATATGAATCGATCTATTGGAAATTTTAGTACAAAGAAATCCTTTTGTGTAGAATCCGATTTACCATGAAGTTTAAAAGGCCTAAATATTCCACAGGGTGAGTCCAACAAACTTTGGCAGCTGAATTTCACTCGCATTAAACATTGAATTTCTGAATTTAAGGCCTGGAGATTTCAATTCAAGACTAAACAAATTGGTGTCTCTGCCTCGGCCTCTGCAAGGTTCATACATAAACATATCTTGGATCATTAAGAATATTTTGGTTCTATCTTATTGCTCATGGACCTCTTCAGTCAAGTGGAATAAATGTGTCCATAGGATTTCAATGCTTTTCGATTTGTATGTATGGAAATGAATTAAGCCTGCAAGAAATCGAGGGATAGTTGTTCATAACAGCACGGAGAAACTCGAAAATCTCTGAATGATTCTCCAAAAGTTCAACTTGGTAATTATATTACTGTACAGTAGATTATAAATCATACCTACGGGATAACATACTTCAAACTGAGTAGGCAAATACAAAGAACCGATAGTAATTGCGGAATAAGTTAAGAGACGGAAAATTGTGAATTTATTAATAATTCTGGCTGACTACTTCATCAGATTAAATTATCATGTCAATACATTTATTACATCCCCGACGCAGTCAGAGAAACAGTTGTCTTTCGCGAATATATCATCATAAGCTTGATCTTTGAGATTATTTCTGGGGAGAGATCAAAAATCGAAAATGCAGTACAGTATGTATTTTAGACTTAATTTTTGACACTACGTCAAGACAGGTCAAGACAGAGGTTGCTTAAATTCCAAGAGAAACATGTATACTTCAGGTTATTTTCGAAAAAAAAATTTAATTTAAAAGCCCATCTTATGAGTCTCTTCCGGATTTGAATAAGAACCGAAAGGTTCTCGATTTTTCGTTCTCGGGTTGTCGGGTGACTCGAGTACTTCCTCCCGGAAACACCGACTCATTCTCGTTATTTCCCCTAGAATGAAATCGGCAGGGAAATTGACCTGGAAAACGCTTAGGCCAATGTCAATTACAGACCGACGTCGGGATGATTACTCAGCGGAAAATCGCTGCCGGGAAACCAGACCGCGAACGACGTTCAGTTCTGCTGCCAGTAGTAGCTCGAAATAAACTGGCGCCGCCGACGATTTGCTCGACAGCCGCCGTCATCGCAGCAGTTGCTGCTTGTTTCCTCTCTTTTTTCTCTCAAATGCCTCGCATTTCCGGAGTGCTGTATAGGGCTGTACTATACACTGCGCGAACATTTACATCGTCACGCCCAGTCACTGCATAGTGCATACCCAGGGGCGGCCGGGCTCGGAATAACAGGCGCCACGCGACCGACCTAACGCGGACTTCTGGGCAATTCTCTATCTTTCCAGGGTTTGAACGCGTTTTTTTTTTGGAGTGTGTGTGTGTATTTCTTACGGCCGCAGCTCCTCTGCTTATATAGTTTTTTTTTTTTTACCTGGTCAGCTTTCTTTTTGGTCAGTGTTCCTTCTTATTTCTTGTTGCAGGGGAGAGGAGACGAAGGGGTGTGGTGTGTTGTGACAAGGAAAGAGCAGGTGACTGGAGTACACGCGCCCCGGAAGCAATTTTCACGATTGAGGCAGACTTTTTTTTTTGCGCTCGGGAATGGGTCACGCGGGGGTTGGGCACTCGGTGGGGCCCTGCGAATTGCAAAGATTGGCTGATGCTTGTTGCTGCATTGCCTGACGACGACCGGGGCCAGCAGACTGATTTATTTATTTTTTTTTTTTAGTGGAGTTCATTTAGTAAGACTTGCTCGTTAGTCACTACTCTGTATTGCACCCAGGGGAGTCAAGGTAGACTACACTGAGCATTGAACACAACACAAAAGTACTAAAAAGGCACTTGTACTTAATATAATTTGGTGAAATACGTCTGCTCGCATTGTTGGCCATGTGTATCATTGGTTTAGCTGGTGGGTTCTCTGATGCTGATGCTATTGGGGGTTTCTACAACAAAATTCTCTCCACAACAATTCTTTTCTGGTCCCTTGGATTTTGTTGTAAACTACTCTCTCTACAACAAAATTCTTTTTGCAACAATTTTTTCTGGTCCCTTGAATTTAATTGTGGATTCTCCTTAAAACGAAATTCTTTGTACAAAAATTTGTTTCTGGCAAATTGAAATTTGTCATAGACTCTCGTTTCTGCAACGAAATGTTCGCTACATCGAATTACAAGGGACCAGAAATAAATCTTTAGAAAAAGTCCACCTGTCCTATAACAATTTGAAAAAGACGCACAATGCTGCAGTGGATTCGGGGAAGCTGCGATGATGACTAGGATGAAGCCGTGTCGCGATAAGCGGAGGGAATCGGATGCGCTAATGTCATAAGCCGTCCGCCGAGACCAGCGGCGGCTTCACGGCTCCACTCCGCTCCTCATTTGCTCGCGGGGAGAAGAGGGATCAGCCCCGGAGATCCTCTGTGGAAACCCCCGCCGGATCTCCCCCCGCAGCACCAGAACACATCCCAATGATTAAATTAGCATACGCGCCCGCTTCTCCCCAAAGGATTCCCTGCTGCATGTACAGTATAGTCCTGCTGATGCTGAAGCCCCCGCGCGACGTATACGAGAGCGACCGAGTCAAGATACATATTACTGTACCCGTACTGTGCGTCACTACGGTATACACGACAGCTTCTGCGTTTCCTCTCGTCGTCTTCTTTCCTTTCGCACACTTTTCACTGTTACTCGATCCCTCATTTTTTCTCTATTCCATTTTTGCTGCAGTATACTGTACACGCACTTACTTTTTTGAGAGAAAGTGGAAATGAAAATGCAGCATTTATTGTGCGAGTTTCATAGCAGTCCTCCATGCGTGTCGTTGACTTGTCTGCTGGTTTTGGTTCTCAGGATCCACATCAGCAGAGGATGAATCCTAGCTGCCACAACGAAAGCCATGAGATTTAAAAATAAAAAATTAACTGTAATATTGAGAAATCGGTGCATCGAGATTATCTCTGAAATAACCATGAGCGCGGTTTCTCTAATTCAAAACGGGGATTTTTACTGAAGAGCTTTCTTTGAAGTGCGGCGGTCCAAATGTTGACCGAAAAATGATTCCGAGTTCTGAGCTTGTCGGTAAGGTTCCACAATAAAGAAGGATTGATTGCCTTTTACAATTAGGCCCCAAGCGGCCACGTGATTCCAGCACTTCTTGTCAGTGAAAACGTGCGGTTACAGTGCATTCATTCATTCTGGGCTGGCTTTTTTTTCAGCTGTCTCTAGCCTGTGAAGGGGTCTTTCTCTGGGTACTTTTTACCTATCACCATCTCTCTGGGTCGCTCTGTTCGTCATGGGTCTCATTGTCGTCGTTCAGACATCAAAATTGAATATTCGTCCTTGCTATCGATGTCCCTATTAAGGCATCCGTTGAAGAAGTGGACCCACGTCGTGAAAGAAAACCTCTCAGCGCAGTGTTCACGCATCTGCTCTCAGCGAAAAATCTGCAAAATGACGTTTAAAAAATATATTTTCAGTAGATCAGTGGAAATCTGATAATTACTGCATGCTGTTCACAATCAAACCGTGGATCCACAACACGACATCTCTATGCACAAGATGCAGAAAAACAAATGAAACTCTGCAGAAGCCACTCTGTGATACGAACAACAAAACATTTATTCCTCGCTCCTCAATGTCACCACATCGAAGTCTTTTAAGCACTCAGCCTGTCTCCGCCACAAGACTGTCTCTCTCTCATCCAGATCTCGCTCAAAAATTCGCGACCGGCGCCGGCTTCAAGTGTATCCTTCGATCTTCTTCTATACACGAGAACATAAAAAGTAACTCGTTTAGCGCGACGAACTCGGGAGAACAAAACGCAAAAAGATGAAAAGTATAACAATAACAAAAAGAAACGAAACTCGGCAGACGGATCACAAGAATGCCCACTGCGCGCGAGTGGCTCTCCCACGAAAAAGAATGAAACTCGTACAAAGATTGACGCGCTGCGTTCCAACGATTGGACATTGGTACATTTGAGAAAAATAAAACGTGAATTGTTCCCGAGTTTGCGAGCGATCGCGGAGGAAGTCCGACCCATGTACAGTACACTAGTGTCGACATTACAAAGCCTAAAAACAAGTCCTCCGTTTCTCATACTAGAAATTGCACCGCGGATTTATAAAAAAATCCTCAGACGAGTACGAGCATGTTACTGCTCTTCTTTTTTTTCCCCTCAGCCATAGGAGGACTCGACCAAGAAAAACATAACAAACACGTGTTTTGATGATCATTGCTGCCTTGCAACAAAAATTTCCGTCGCTTTCCCTAAAAAAAAAAAAAAAACACAAGCCAGAAGCAATTCACGAGATTTTCCAGCGCAACGCATCGAAAAAAAAATATATGAACAAGCCCGCGGCGGGAAATCAAAACATCTTCCGGCAGAAAAATTAAGGGGGAATCATCACAGCACAGCCTCTGGAAAAATGAGTCAGGGGTCAGTCAGCTAAATGAAAACAGCTTCGTTTATCTGCCCCGGATGTTGCGACGGTGACGACGATGCGCTGTGCTGCTGCTGCGGCTGCAATGGCTGCTGCTGCTGTTGTTGTTGCTGTTGGGGACCGGCCACACCAGGGTGATGCGTCGGGGTCTGCTGCTGGGCATGCAGCATCGGATGCTGCGGCGAGATCGCGTATGCCGCCGGGCTCAGGTGCTCCGACCAGTCCGACTGGCTCTGCGGGGATGACGACGACCACTGGCCCGGCGAGTTCGGGTCCGGCGACGGAGTCAGGTAGGTATCGGGCATCACGTGTCCCAATCTGTGTGGAACCTGCAACAAATGTTTCTTCATCAGATTTCAACTCAGATTTCCGATTCCACAAGATGCGGAGACTCGAAACAACAAAAATCCAATTCCTACCTCTAATGCGTCAAAACCGACCTGTTCTTTGATAAAACCCCAGACAAATTTCAAGATAAAATCGGTTTTCAGGAAAAATCTAATTTCTCCCTTTCAAGCAGTAGAACTTATTTTTTCAACCAGAAATGATGTCAAATTTGCCCTTTTACATCATGAAAATCAAAGAAAAACCGCAAGATCATCTTCAGGGAAACCTCAATACAAGACCCGTCTTGTCCTTCGGGAATCATGATCAAGAATAGTCAGTCACACATGAAAAAACGCACCATTGGAGGTTGCTGCTGCTGCTGTTGTTGTTGCTGCTGCTGCTGCTGTTGATGCTGGTGCTGCTGTTGTTGCACCTGCTGCACTTGCTGCTGTTGTTGCTGCTGCACCTGCTGTTGCTGCTGTTGCTGCTGCTGCTGGGCATCGGCGCCATCGTGGGACAGATTGGACGGTGGGGTGGGGAAGCCCATGTAGACACACTGTTTGCGCAGGGCAGCCATGTGTGTCGGGGAAGTGGGATACTGCTGGCTGCCGCTCGACACTCGCGACTTGAGCGGCGACTGTGGCACGTGAGGCGGTGACATGCTGTGGGCACTGCCCGCACTCTGCGGCGGCGACAGCATCATCGGCAGCTGGGCCAACTGCATCACCGACGTGCCTGGCTGCACTGCGCCGGGCATCGAGCACGGAACTTGCTGCTGCTGGCCCTGGTGTTGCTGCTGCATCAACGCCGGATAATTGTGCGCGAACGGGTCCATCACTTGAGGCGGGAGCGTCATCGATCCTTGCCTGCAGAAGACATTGATCCGGGTTTACTCAATCTCTCGCGTAATATTAAGCATATAACCGACTAATCTTATTGATTTTAATTTCTTTCAAATTTACTCGACTCAACTTTCTGGAATGTCGCCTGAATCGCCAACACAACTGAAATAGCCAAAGCTAATACAACTCGACCAAAACACAAATATTTGCATTGAAATATCGGAAAAGAGAATCGTAAGGCTGGACATTTCAGGGCGAAGATACAAAAGAATTTGCATAATTCCTTACCTCGGGTGGAACATCTGCTGCTGCTGTTGTTGTTGTTGTTGCCTCTGCAGGAAGTTTTGCTCCAGCCCGATCTGCGACATGCTCTGGACAGAGTTGGTCTTGACAGCTTCCTCATACGACGGCAGCCCGCGGCCGGGCACCTGCATGGCGTGCATCTGATGCGCCACCTGCTGCATCCGCTGCTGCAAGTGCTGCTGTTGCTCCAAATGCAGCAAGTTGGGCTGCGAGTGCGCCATCATGCCGCCTGCATACATGGCCTGGGCGTGCATGTCCGGGTAGTGCGGCGGAGTGGACTGGGCACTGTGCGACTCCTGGTTGTGCGGCGAGCCCTCGAGCGAGTTGCACGGCGAGGAATCCAGCAACGACTGCATCGTGTTTGTGCTGCCGTTGCTGTTGTTGTTGGACACGTCGTGGGCGCTGGTGCCACCGTCACGCGGCTTCCGACTCGCCGCCTTCTTCCCGCCGCCGCCACCCGACTTCTTCGAGTTGCCAGAATTGGGGGCCGAGGCCGACTGGTCCCCACTCGTGTTCATCGGGTTCTGAGGACTGTTCTTCATGCTGTGGCTTCCATTGGGATGATGACTCGAGCCAGACTTGACGCGCTTCTTCGGCTTCGGTGGACGCGCCGGCGGCAACGTATTGGACGACCCGGCGAGCGCCTGGTTCTGCGGCGGCAGCAGCTGCGACATAATGGGCGTCGGGTTGGCCCTGGGCACGTGCTCATCAAGCAGTCGCACGATGTCCCGATGCATCCGCTCCTGGGCCACGTCGCGCGGCAGTCGGTCCATGTGGTCACCGAGATCCCGATTCGCACCGTGGTCCAGAAGCACGCGACACGCCTCGTAGCTGCCCTCCCGGGACGCCAGGAACAAGGGGGTCTCGTCCTTGTGGTCCGTCGCGTCCTTGTTGGCCCCGTGCGACAAGAGAATCGTCACGGCGTCCACATTGTTTACCGCAGCGGCCCAATGCAGCGCAGATTTCCCGTTTTCGTCAGTCAAGTTCACGTCGACCTGGGCGCGGATCAATTCTTCCACCATGCCCTCCACGGCGAGTCTCGTTGCGAGGATCAGAGGCGTCGTTCCTTCGCTCGTTTTGGCATTCAAATTCGTCGCTCTGTTCCTCAACAAGATCTGAGGATATTCCAAAAGGCAATGATCAGCAAGATTGTTTCTTTTTTAAACTTTTTATACCATCCACGATTTAAATAAATCAAAATACCCCAAATGAAAAAATCGAACATCTTTCCAACGTACGAGTCAGTATTCGTTCATTTTAATTTTTTATAGAATCAACAGTATCGGTGGATACATTGAGAAATAATTGTGTTTGCAGCAGGAAACACACGCAAGTCTTCGATACTTCATGAAAATTTCTACCAGGGATCCTTTCAGCATTTACATGCTATTGTAGCGATGTTCAAGAACAAAAATAAAAAGTTACAAGACTTAGGAATTGATCAATTTGAAAACAATTTGCAATATCTCCAATGCCATTTACCCGCATTATAACAATTCTTCATTATGACGGACGCAGCAGCAAAGTAGAACCATGTCATGAATGATGATGAGTCATGAATGCATCAGATTTATAGAAAATGTATGTGCACATCGTATTCGCTCAAATATTACGCGCCCTCGAATAATGAGCGCACCTTCGCTTTTTAGCTCAAATTTAGGAAAAAAAAATTCCACATAAGACGCGCACATTAATTTTCAGTTCCCGAAATTCTATATGGTATTCTAAAAACTGCAGGGGGAGAAAATCTGAATAGAACCATATTTGAAAGTTGACTTCCATGTTAATCTTTTTTTCTTGTGCGAAACAAAGATTCATTGCAAAAATAATTTCGAAAAAAATTTATAGAGGGGGAACATTTCGAAGTTCAAAAAGTTTTACTGGAAAATTTGTACCGAACTACTACGACGCACCTCTTTATTTGCCCTCCATTAAAAAAAAAAAGTACTCGAGTAAATACGGGACTACTTCTGTCGCTGCACTGCAGTATAACTTCTGCAGTAACAAAATTACGTCATGCAGCAAGAACAATAAATACTGTACCATGAAAACGCCTTGCGCGTCTGCAGCGATGGCACTGTGCAAGGGTGTGCGCCCACTGGCATCGGGAGAGTTGGGATCGCCGCCAGCTTCCAGCAGCCATTTCGCAACATCGGCCCGTGCATAACGGGCAGCCAAATGTAAGGGGGACTCTCCCGTCTTGTCTGCCGTCGAGTTCACCTTAGCACCTTGAATCAGCAGGTCCTGAATTATCTGTTTGGAGCCATCGCCCTGGTCCTCGTCATCGCCGTTATCGAGACCGCAACCACGGATCGACGCCAGCATCAGCGGTGTGAGTCCAGCCGGGCCTCTGGCATCGACGTCGGGAATTCCTGCGCCGTTATCCATCTGCAAAGAGGGGGAAATATAACAGTTTTTTGTATAAATTACCATGTCTTGAGTGTGCATTAAAATCTTGCTTAGCAACCAAATTTTTGTATTTCTTGCTTAAATTAGGCACGAGTTGATGCAACGAGGCCCTTCTCATGTCTTAGTTTTTTTCCTACTTTTTCTTCTTTTTTGCATTTCTCGAGGTCAGAAGGGATTTTTTCGGGTAATGTTTAAAAAAAATCAGGCAAACGCATGTCAGAAACGTAGTTTGTGAAGCGTCCACCGCATATGATGAAAACACACTGAACATGAACTGTATTAACCGTTCACTCCAGAGCTGGATTATTTTAGCTATAGATGAACTTCATTGACAATAGCAAAATACTATGGCATACAGCGTTTCTAAGAACCTACAGTAATTATTCAAGTGAAAAACGCTCGCTATGAGTGAGTAAAAGGTGGGGGAAAAAACATGAGTAAAACTGGAACAAAAAGTGAGCCAAACTTACTCGTTGCGGAGGAGTGAATGCGAGGATGTCAGGGTGTCGGACGTCAGCGGCCTCTAGATGTTGCTGTGTCCACGTTCTGTGGTCGTTGCTCTCTGCGTAGTCTGATGTCATGCATGTGTTGTCGCTGGAATAGCTCCCGGGATCGGCCTGGAAATTTTTGAGATTATCATCAAAATTGGAACGACATTTCAAATCTTCAAATTCTCCATGGAACTTCGCCAAGGAAAAATTCCCTTTCAAAAGTTTCGATCAATAAAATTCGCACCTTTCTTCGCTTCGTCGGTGGGCATTCAATGTCATCTTCTGACAAATGAGCGAATTCGGGTGGAATTGAAAATTCACTCGGGGCAAATCCTCCAAGCCTGTCACACCCCTCAAGTCCCATGCTTCTCATTTCTTGGCCATCCGGTCTTCGGCGTCCCTGGACCCCTGGGGCACTGTTGTCCTTGAAGAAACCCTCTGGGAACCAGGTAATTGCTCCGCGAATCCGTTTCCGTTGCGATCGGAAGAGAATTCCCAGCATCAATGCGATACAAATGACGACGCCGACAGCAACAGCGCTGACTGTCACAGTGGAATCTTCGCTTCCTCCACCAGTGGAGATCCGGTCGTCACCATCATCGAACGCGTCGCTGAACGCCTCGTAAACACTGAATCCGAGATTAAGTTGGGAATTCCGAGCAGCAGCACCGAGAAAATCTGCAGCTTGGTCAGCTGTTTGGAAGCACTTGTTGGCATCTTCCAGCTCGCAAAGAGTATTGTCGATTTCTAAATACGCCACAACCCCCGCAGCTGGCCCATCCGCTCGGTACATGTTTCCGCTGTCCGACTGCAGTCTGCAAAAATTTAATAAAATAAAATAAAAAAACAATCCATGAAAGCGATGTACACAAACATGAACCTCATGAACATTAAAAAAAAGCCATCAAGCAGCCCGATCTGAGAATCATCGCCCACAAAAATTTGATGCGTCAACTAACCGGAACGAATCCTTCCTGTTCCACGGCAAGATCATGTCGTTGCCGAATTGGTCTTGCTTGTACCGGACGATTGTCCGCAAAACGCGTGACATTTGCCAGAGGAAAGCGGTTGAAGCGTTGCGGAACGAAATAATATCCATGAGCAGCACAACACCGAGTCTGCCTTGAGCAATCGGCGGAGACGAAGTCGGCGCACAGTCGCCTCCATCGTACCGACATTCCCGGTTGTTGCACCCGAAGTCACAATGCCCGTTGCTGTAGTGCATCTCGCAGTAGTTTTCATATATCGCGCTTTGAATAAAAATATTGAAAAATACGTTATCATCACGTTTCCTTTTTTTTTAGAAGACTTATTCTCGAAACATCACTTGTTCGTTAAATCATTTTTTAAATTTCCACAAATTTCACGCAACGATGACTCACTTGCACGGCTCCATTTGGATGGAACAGTCGAAGCCATCAAAGTGACACTCTGGCGTGTAGCATTCAACGTCGCACTCGCCATTGAATGCCAAATCCCAACAGCGAGAGCCAGCAGAACAATCTTTAAATGGTTTTGTACCCAAAGAGCAGTCTTTGCCGTCAAAGTCGCAGGCCTTGTAGTTGCATTCGGGATCGCACTGTCCGTTACCGGCCTTGGCTTTGCAATCATTCTCGACACAGTATCCAGCTTCGATAATGTCGTTAATGGCGTCGTCGTGCGGCTTCGTCTTCTGCTTTTTCCGCTCCACGAGGCCACCAGAAAAGTTGGGGTCGTACTGATTGCAGCTGATTCCGTTCCAGGTCGCGGGGCAATCACAAAGGAAATATCCCGGGTGGTCGAAGCAGATCCCGCCATGTTCACAAGGATTGCTTGCACAATCATCGAAAGTATCCAAAGTGCAATCCAGTCCCGATGTTCCAGACACGCAGTCGCACTTGAAACCCTCCTTGTACGGTCTGCAAGTGCCACCATTGGCACACGGCTGCGCCTCGCAAACGGATCCTACATTCTCGCAACGCGATCCAGAGAACCCAGACGGACACAAGCAAGTGTGATTCCCAGCGGAAGCAGAGCAGACCCCGCCGTTGCGGCACGGGTTGCTGGCACAAAAGTCTGCTCGATGCTCGCAACGCCTTCCGTAGTATCCCGGTTTGCACGAGCATTCAAAGTTGTTGATCAACTGCACGCAGTCTTGGGTTCCTTCCGTGGCACAAGGGTTGCTCAGGCACTCGTTCACATCGCCTTCACAACGCGGGCCAACGTAGCCCGGCGGGCAGCGGCACTCGTAACCTCCAACTCGGTCCACACACGTGCCACCATGATGACAAGCTCCTGTGGTGCAGTCGTCAACATTCACTTCGCAATGCGGACCCAGAGTCCCAGGGGGACAAATGCACTTGAATCCATTGATCTGGTCGTGACACCGCCCACCATTTTGGCACGGATTCGGGTCACAATCGTTGACGTTGAACTCACAATCCGCTCCCTGATGAAGAAAATAAATAAATGAGTGGGTGAAAATTCTGAGAAATCGGCATTTAAAAACCAGTTAGACCAAGAAAAATTAAACGGATTATTTCTCAAATTTCTAAAACAGTGAAGTTATAGAAAAAAGGGGGAATTGTTCATAACTCAGTTTGGAAATTGAAGTTACCTGGAATCCACGTGAACATTCACAAACGTAATGCCCAATTCTGTCTCGGCACGATCCTCCATTTTTGCATGGAGACGACTGACATTCATCCACTTCAGTTTGACAATAGGATCCCGTATAACCGGAAGAGCAGTGACACAAGTGGGAGTTTCCAATGTCTTGGCAAGTACCACCATGTAGACAAAGAGCTTCTCTCGAAACGTCTATTGAGGTAAGTAAAAAAAAGAAGGAAAAAAACACGAGCCAATCAATACAACGATCATCTTTCTTCAACTGCTGCACGCAATAAAACTTACTCTTCCTCAAAGATGCGTCGTTGCACGAGACCATTTCGACGTCGCACAACATGCCGGTCCAGCCCGGAGGACACACGCACTTGTACATGTTCTTATGCTGCTTGCATGTGGCCCCGTTCCTGCACGGGTTCCCGTTGAGTCCCGAGCACCAATCAATGTGATCTTCACACCGCCGGCCAGTGTACCCGTACGGACAATTGCACGTGTAGAAACCAATCCGATCGACGCAAGTACCGCCGTTGGCACAAGGGTTCGAGTCGCACTCGTTAACGGGGAACTGACAGTTGGAGCCCGTGAAGCCCGGGGCGCAGGTGCACGTGAAATTGTTGACTCCGTCCAGACAAGTGCCTCCATTCATGCATGTCGTGTCCGAGCAATCTTCGTCGTTGATCTGACAGTTTGTCCCGGAGAACCCGAGTGGGCACGTGCAGGTGTACGAATTGACGTAATTGGTGCACGTCGCGCCGTTCAGACAAGGGCTTGATGCGCACTCGTCGATGTCGATTTCACAATCTCGTCCTGCAATTATTATTATTATCATTATTATTGTTTTGCTTCTTAAATGAAAAATCAATAAATCCATCCATCAAAGCTAACCGTCACACGCTTTCTATAGATCGGTCAACAAGCACTATCATTTCGCCTCAAGTTATCTTTTCTCGCACTCGCACAACGTATGAACAGAACCAAGCTGATTGAATTTTTCGATTCGGTATCATCAGGATGAATCAAATTTTTTTAAATCAGAAATAAATAAGAATGAAATGACCAGATTAATTCCCTTTTCAATCATTTCTCAAAAGAGGTATTTTTTTTTTTTTATCATGGATGACATAGAGTCAAAGCAAGCAAATATAGAGAGGGCTGATTTTCCAGGGAAACTGACCTTCGAAGCCAACCATACATTGGCACTCGTAGTGACCCACGTAGTCCTGACACGTCCCGCCGTTTTGACACGGATGAACAGCGCAATCGTCAGTGTTGATCAAGCAGTTCCTGCCCTCGTAACCGTGTGCGCAAACGCACTCGTACGATCCGTTCGTGTTTTTGCACGTCGCTCCGTTGCGGCAGGGATTCGAAACTGCACACTCGTCGATGTCCTCGTCACATAGCCGTCCTACGATACCATTCGAGGCATAATAAAAGCATGAAAATTTGTTCCGCCAGATACAAAACATACAGATTATAGACTGCACTGCCGAGCAGAGCAGATACTCACCAGCATAGCCCCATGGACATTGGCAAATGAAGTCGAGGTAATTGGGCGAAGGACGACAGGTCGCAGCGGGCTTGCAGGGGTTCGGCGAGCATGGGTCCATTTCCTCGAGGCACTGCTTGCCAGTGAAGGGCGGCGGACAAACGCACATGTAACCGTCGACGGCATCCACGCAAGTGCCGCCGTTCCTGCACGGATTCGACCTGCACTCGTCGATGTTGATCTCGCAATTCGGCCCAGCATAACCTGAAGGTTGAAAAAAATAATAAGTAAATATTTTACATGCGCCACCGCTAACCATTCGCGGAAAAGCACTTGAAAGAATCTCCGAACCTTTTTTGCATTCGCAAGAGTACGAATTCAATCCATCTCTGCATGTGCCTCCGTGCTGACACGGATTCGAGTGACATTCGTCAATCTGCTCGTGGCAGCGTTGCCCAGTGTAGCCCGGTTTGCAGTGGCATGTATAACCGTTCACTTCGTCTTCGCACGAGCCTCCATTCAAACATGGGTTCGACGCACACTCATTCACGTCCGACAAGCACCTGTATTCGACGGTTTCATTAGTATTTCGAACAACTTGAATGTTCTCAACGCTATGACAAAAATTATCTCGAATGGGGCAGAAAATATGGGGGTTCCCCAAAAATAACGAGTCTTGAACAGATTTTCGGTTTTTCTAAAACAAAACAGCGAAAACGAACGGGGTCAATTTTCTCATGCTGGAATACGTTAGTCTGATTTTACAACTGCTAAATTTGAAATAACTACGAATACAGAGAGACTATGAAGATTCGAACAGCTCAATTTTTGCACCCGATTCTACCACAATAAATTTCCGCAATCGATGACATCTGTAAATTGAAACCACAAATTACGTGTCCCGTCAATCGATTGGAATCCTCGTAATCTATTTTCGCCGAAAAATATATAGTATATAGATTGTGCATCAAAGATGTCTGAAATTTTAGTTTACGAAGTTTAAAGATTACAAAAGACGGTGAAGTGGGGGAAAAAAGTATCACCTCGCGTCGTAGTAACCCCTGGGGCATTTGCACTTGAACCCGTTCTCTTGGTCGATGCAAATCCCGCCGTTGGCGCACGGGTTCGACAAGCATTCGTCGTTGTTGATTTCGCAATGAATTCCTGCACATGAAACGAAACATTTACACAATGAGCCGATGATTGTGATGACGACTTGAACGCCTCTCGTTTCCTCGTTCCAACACTCACCAGAGAATCCCGGACGACACGAGCACCGGTACTGGTTGATTCCGTCCACGCAAGTCGCACCGTTGCGGCACGGGTTCGACAGACACTCGTTGGTGTTGATCTCGCAATTGACTCCCGTCGTCCCGATTGGACAGCTACACAAGTACCCGTCGACCCGGTCCAAGCAAACGCCGCCATACATACACGGATGAGAAGCGCACTCGTCGATCTCGCTCTGGCATCGGTGACCCGTGAACCCGGGTTTGCACAGACACGAGTACCTTCCGATCCCGTCGATGCACCGCCCGTTCACGCAAGGGTTCCTCGCACAATCATCGATGTTCACCTCGCAATCGTGACCTACACACGAAGCGCAAAAATAAATATTAAAAAAAAAGGTTCCTCGTCAAGTCTTCAACCACTGCTTACGATACAACCTTGACGTGGGGGTTCGTTGCAAACGAGTACCGTACTTATTTTTTTACGTGACTGGAAATGGGAAGATTTCATTGCCTCGCTTTGAAAGTAAAATACGGTATATTCTTGGTCATCAATCTGGACAGCGAACAATTTGACCTTCGAACTGATGGTATACAGCTGCGTTCCCGTTGCAACGGGACATTTACAGACAGAACTCAGCACTCTTCCTTCACAATTTACCGTATTTGCAATAGCACAAGACGTCTTCCAATTTCGGCTCACGAACATACGGGCAGAGCATCTTCGCAAGGATTTCGATACGAATTTCCTTGTAAATTCGGAGTCAACGGTTCAAAAATTGAACAACCGTTAACTACAGTATCTCATCGACACATAGAAAAATCTTCCTACACTTCTGGGCATACGATTAAAGCTTGATTCGAACCCATACACACAAAAATAAAATAAATGAAATACAATTATTCAATTAGTCCAAGGGCAGATACAAAAAAATAATTGGGCCTCTGTCCTCCATCAGTTTATTGCAATTGCAGTGGAGTCAAAATAGTGATCGAGATTTCAATTCCTTTATTTATTTATTTTTTACAACAATGAGTCTTTATTTGCACTAATTCATTGATATTGTCAGTTACAAAGGAAATCTCGTCACACATACACAAATTAGTTCATTTTTTATTCAATCATGTGATTTCGTCTTGGATTCATCAGGGAACTTTTCTCCTTTCTACACGTTCGAGAGACCAAAAATGTTTGGCGTGTCTTGGAATCGATGATGGCGTCTCACCACACGCGTAAGTACGATATTCCGCAAGATTACAAGAATATACAGTACTCTACATGAAAATACGTCCAGTGTGAGATTTAAAAGAGAGAGAGAGAGAGGGAAGCAAGCACTCGTTGAAAATGCCTCGGTACTCACCAGAGAATCCAGCGGGACAAGAGCATGTGTAACCCGCAATTCCGTCTTGACACGTTCCCCGGTTCATGCAAGGATTGCTAATGCAGTCGTCTACATTCACCTCGCATCCTTTCCCCGTGAATCCTCGAGGGCAATGGCATTTGAAATTGTTCTGCAAATTTTCGCACGTTCCGCCATTGTAGCAGGGCTTCCTCTCGCATTCATCGATATCAACCTCGCAATTGACTCCCGTGTAACCTGTGCGGCACAAGAAACGAAGAAACAAAACGAACTTTAGCTCGAGCAAAAAGATTCAACATCGAAAAATCCGTAGACTAGATAAGAACATTTTGCATCCCTGCATCGGCGAACCGAATCAAGTTCCTTCAATTTTTTTTCGCCAACACGGAACTCATGCAAATCACGATCCCCGCCGGCAGAAAATTGAAAATCTACCCCGAGGCAACAAGCGCGCGAAGGTACTTGGAACAGCGCATTCCGCCATGAAATATGGAACTGAAACACTAGTACTCATCAATGAAAAAAAAGTAATAATAATAATTTCCTCAGTCGTTCGCTGGAAAACTGCGGGATGGCCGCTGCTGTAAGTACTTCAGTTCAACGGCCGCGAAAGCCGGAGAAATTTTCCCAAACGAGGCAACGGGTTAACGGTCGAAAACCCCCTGGCGATGCGCTCCTTAACAAATAACCCTACAAAACGCGAGAAATACACAAATAAAACAATAACTCGGGCGAGGAGAATGCCCCGGGGTGCCGAGGTACACGCTGGACACGGAAAACGAACGGAAATCTGCGGTCTGTTCTTCAGTTCTTCACTACCCACTTTTCCGGAAAATAAGACCTAGTACTGTACCATATTCCACCCCTCCCCCGTTTATAAATACTGTACCACATAAGCAATTGCACGAAAGAAACCCTTTGAAATTATGACTGAAACACACTATCAAAGGTTAGGTAGGCAGTTTCAATTTACATTTTGATAATACACTAATCAAAATTTGCGAGTCACGTAGAGTTCAGGGTTTGAAATTCAGAATAATACGACCTTTTTTTTTTTTCAATGAAGAAATGACTACATCGAAATGTTGTGATGAAATGTACGACCATTTGAGATTAATTATTACAGCATGAATATAAGACTCCTGGCATGATTTATAAAAAGTTAATGTGAGACGAGTAATATTTTCGGGGAAAACATGTCGCACACAGACTCGGCCTCTCAATTTTGAGTTCAATTTACACCGACATTCGTCAGGAAACAGAATACTAAATGCATTGAAGAAATCTTGATAACATCCACAGCTACTTTACGTCAACGTTTCCTTCACACAATTTTTTTATCCGTTCAAAATTACTGTAGAATATTTTTCATCAACTACCACCGTATAATCTTCGAAAGAAGCTTTTCTTCAGGTCGTTTCGAAATAAAAAAAATTATTCGCACCTCATCTTTTTTTCTCCAATCACGAACAAGACGATCAAGGAGGAACATCAAATCTCTCCAGCAGAAATCGAAGAATAACGAAATTATTTTAGTTCCGGGATTCCACTCCTCACACAACCTGGAACTTATAACAAAACATCGATCTGAACCATCGCCTCCTTTGCAATTACTTCTTTCCGCCGCAGGACAAATTAATTAACGACCTTTCACAACTGCGAAATTTGCCAGCGGTGAATCGCAACCAGATGCAAATCTCCATTGTTCAAATGCCGCTGATGCGTCTGGGAACCCCTATACAAAGTAACGCGACGCATAATTATCATTTTTTTATTGTACTCGAGAAGGGACAAAGGGATACGTATTGGCTAATGACCAAGCGGCGGCTTCGCACGGAATTTGCTCCGCAAGTGAAACCGGTAGTCTTCCGGCGTCAATCATGCGACTTTTGACGAAACGGAAGTAAAAATATTTGACCAACCGTTCAATCCCCGAAATAAAACTTGTCCGCAAAAGCAGCAAGTCGGGAGTTTCAGAGGTTGCGTATAGAGACCATTTATTCCCCATTATTATCCTAGGGCCATGTGAGACATGCAACAAAAAAATCCAGAGTGGAGTGCACTCGAAAATGCGCGAAAATTCACAGGGAAAATCGCCACGGCCATGGGAACTCGCCCGAAGCACCAAGGTCGCGTGCACACCCGCTTTACCTCCATCCCGTCGCTTCCCATAATCCTTGATCAATCATTATCCCCACGAATGTGTCGAAATAACACCCTGCAAACTACAGTCATTCATATTTACCGAGAAACGAGAGAAAAAAATAATACTGTACAGCGCGCTTGAACGCAAGAGACACAATCAAATTCCACGTCAACCCTTTTTGCCGGTCAAAGCCAACAGCCCTAACCAAGAGTCCAAGACTAGAAGTGGCATTCGGATAGGCGATACAGTATTTCGACGTTTAAATTTACAATTCAGCGCGTCCCCGCATTTCATAACGAAATTTCTAGGCAAAAAAACGCTATAATGTCATCGAATTTTGAATAGAAACTTGCGCATTTTTCGAAAATTTGAAGGAAATGAGGAGAGAATGAATAATGGTTTATAAAATTCAAAAATGGAAGAGCTGAAACTCGTCGGAAATATTTCAAATTTCTCACCAAATAAATTTTTAAATCAATATTTTCTGCAGAGAATAACAAATTGTAGGGTTTGTGATGTGTCTCTGGAACGAATTAAATAATTCCCATCCTAATTTTCAATAAAGTGGGTTTCGCACTGCAAAAATTTCGCATAATGAAAAATGCGACTGAACGGAACATCCTTCGCATTTCGCCTATAAAACGTGACAAAAATTCGATTGGAAGATGGGTTTTCGACCAAACATTTAGCAGAACGTTCCCTCGGTTTTTTTTTTCCTTTTTCTCCTCGCCAAGAAATCCGGAAACAATTCAGTTGCGGAAATGAGTTGACTTTGAGACGTTGGAGAGAGAGAGAGAGAGGAGAGTACTGTATAGGGTCATTTACTCCGGATTGTGCAGGACGCACAAACAACCGCATTCCGCGACGGATGTTGTCCAGCAGCTCGACATTCAACACCTCATCAACGCGCCAGGTTTCACAACTACGCGCATTGGAAAGCAAAGGCCCACGGGCATAATTTCCGCCGCCGGTCCGTTTAATGAATCAAATTCCCTCCACCGTCAGGAGATTTCTCCGGTATCGACGACGGAAATAATGAATCAAATTGTCCTCTCACAACATATCTCGGCTCGTTACGGGGTCCCTTCCAAAAACAAGTCCTGCAAGGAGGATCATTAGCCCTTGTTGCGATCTGATCTCGTTCTCGTGTTTTGTTTCGAACGCAGACGTCGTCGTTAATCATATTTTTTTTTCTTTCTTCGCTCAACAAAAGCCGAGCTCGGATTCTCATAAAATACCGTAGCATACGAAATTTGAATACGCTACCGTTCAATTACCAGACCTCATGAATACGAAGGCAGGCGAACTTCTTTATTACAGTATACAGTAGCTGCATATCTTCCACTTGCTTCCTCGAAGAATACAAAACGAGAGAGAGAGAGAGAGATATAAAACATCCAGTCGTCGACGTACGGAAGTCATGAGAATCCGCCGAGAGAAATACGATAGGAAAATACTTCGTTTTATCATGACTAACGGTAGGCAGGACGAAGAACAGCTTTCCTTTGAACTTAAAATACGCGTAACCCGATTGAATTGTACAGTATACTGTGTCTAGACCGAGATTTGTTTCCTTTTTTTTGGTGCAGAGAACCTGATTTTTTTCCTTGCTGAATAAACTTTATACGATTTCGAAAAATTCATCTTGATAGAACGTACAGTATTTGCTCTCGTGCTGAAATAGTCGACTTTACGCGGTCATTTGCCGCAATCCATCATGCTGTACATGTACAGTATATACGAACAATGCTATCGACTCGTGGAATGGCCGAGTCTTGCAAAATTGAGTTCAACATCAATAACTTGAGCCTATATCAGTCGAACATCTTATAATTTCGATTTTTTGTAAATTCCTATTTGTATTACCTTAGAATCAATGCATTGAAAACCTCCTAAACTCGAAAGGCTCCATAGTTCGAATTCTTCTGAATGCCTTTGGCTATTACTTTATTTACACAGGAAAAAGAAAAGTCATAAAATGAACTTGATGCGTTTTCCACGGAATTGAGAGAAAAAGTCGGCAAATAAACCCTTATTTTCAACTTCAGCATCACGTCAACTCATTCAAGAGGCAATTTATGGCCCAGAAAATATCATATTTTATAATTTCCCGTAATTTTTTTCTCTTCAAACACAAAAAGGCTCGTTTCTCCAACTCGTAATTCTAACTAACTCGATTTTTTTTGCTAGTCCCTCGAAGTGTAACTGAAAGAGGTTCGACTCCAGTTCGGAAGTAAAAATCTGTAAAAGTAGAAGCATTTTTAAATTAATCCCGGGCAGTTCATCAGCTTTCGTCTCTGTCGCATTTCCCTGTGATACAAAATAATCCTTTTTTTTTTTTCTTTCTTGCGACCTTCAAAATTTAATGCTTTCCAATTCGCAGCCCACATTTAGAGAGCGAGTTGTAGTCATTCAAGGTTTTTTTCTTGAACGATCGTCTCATAAATTGCGCTTTCATGAACCGATCGCGAAGATTCGATAGAAACACGAGTTAGTCATACCATTCCCCCCCTCCTCCTCCTCCTCCCACATTTTTTCCCGTTCCTAGACGTCACCATCATCAACATCAACATCCGATGATCTCCTTCTACCGAGGCGTGAGAACGTAATCCCTCAGTCCTAGCAAGAAGAAGAAAGCAATACCGCGCCCCCCACGAAGCCAGCAGCAGCAGTTCATGCACCACCTTCCTTCTCGTTGTCGTCGTCGTCGTCATCACACGACATCGTCTCTCGGGACTTAGAGCTTAAAGCTGCGACTGCATTCCGCCGCACGCCGACGGAGTTCGAGTCGACATTCCGTGTCGTCGTCGTCGTCGACGTCGACGCCGCGAGAAAGCGTCGCGCGTCCGTGGGAATAGAACCGGCGTTTACGACCCCGCGCGACCTGTTTCGCAGCCCAGCCAAATAATGACGAATAATAAAAGAGAGAAGAGGGGGGAAAAAAGTGTTCCTCAACCCAAGACTTGAAAACACGATCCAGAGCGTTTCATCTAATTCACGAACTCCGCGTCGAGAAGAAAAACCACAAGCGGAACCTAACCAAATTGATCCAAATTCGATGAACAGTAGTGATATAAAATACGCAAATTTC